TGATTAGATGGTGTATTTTGTTTATCTAAAAGAAATTTATATTAAAAGTTATTTTCAACTAAAATTAACACAGTTAATAAATAAAATTTATGCATATTTTAATATATGTAAATTATTCATATTTTTATATTTGTAAATTTAACTTTAATATGCTTTTCTATATAATTTCAGAGATAACTTTATTTCTTTTTAATGAAAGATTTTGACACCAAAATTATTTTTACTTTCTATGTCAGGATTGTAAAGCTAACCAAAAAATATAAATCAAGGGTGTAAAGCTTACCAAAAAACATCTACTACTGTTAATAACTATTACATTTATACAAGTCTACCTGATGATTTTAATTCATTTTCTAGATCTTTTGCATGAATAACATTAGTCATAGGTGCTTGATCACCTCGACAACCAGCTACAATATTGTGTCCACCAAACAATTTCTTTATAATGTCTTCCTGTAATATTTTATTAACACAGTTTTCATTTCATTTTTGAATTTATAGGATTTATATAAGTAGGTACAGTAGGAAATTAGTTTCAAAAAATCATGAGATTTAAAATCTAAATTATAAAAACTCACTCCTTCTTTTCTTTGCATATCATGAAAAATAGGTTCACCTTCTAAAACTTCTCTTGATGGTGATGCCCATATTCCTTCTCCAGGTGAAATCTATACTCAACATACAAAAAACCTATTAAAAGCATACTTTAAAAAAGCTCAACTAAAAAACACTATTTTTTTTTTTACTATTTAATGAAAAACCCGTGAGAAATTGATGATCTTTTTATAAGTCATTTTCAGATAACTAGATATTTGCTTCATTATTAAGTTTTATTTTGCACTACATTATTTATTTGTTAAGTTTTAGGTAGATTTTTAATGAGTTTATTAATGAAATATGTATTACTAAAAAATGATTGAAATTATTATTTCAGGTTAACCATATACCATATACACAACAATTTAAAAAATTGTAGTGTATATGGATTAATACATTTAAAAGAGTAAGCGCCAATTTATCCTATAAAACAAAATTGAAGAAAGTTGAGTTGAATGAGCTTCATATTAAAAAATGATTTACGCAGTGCTTCTTTGCAAACAATAAAATACTTTGGTAGATAAAGTGAACAATACATATAGAAGGTTAAGCCCAAATTCATCCTATAAAACAAAAGTTGAGTTAAATGAGTTTATATTTAAAAAATGATTTATGTAAACTTTGGTAGATAAAGTGTATGCAAATGTTTATATTACAAAACATAAGTACTTTTGATCATTATTGAGATAGAATTGCTCAGAGGATAAATTAGCATTCCTCTTGTTTGTGTTATTATTTTAGTACTTTTAGTTATTTGCATAATAATATTATAATAACATTCCATTTGAGCTTTTGTTATGCAAAGTTTTGTGCATTTCTGCTCATTCCATATTTCATATTTCTGCTTATTTCATATTTCTGCCTATTTCATATTTCTGTTTATTTCATATTTCTTCATATTTCATATTCTGCTTATTTCATTTTTTATTTTTTTTTATTGAGTTATGATTTTTCTTTATAATTTACACATGTTTGGTACTTTTTTTAGGTTTAGAGAGGTCTACCATCCTCATGCCAGCTAGGGATACAGTAAAGATATATCTGATAACATAGCAAACTTCATAATTTTTCTGAAGAATTTTGCAATTTATTAAATTTTCAATTTTTTACTTAATTTCAAAACAAAATTTTTTGAACAAAACATTTTTCGAAAAAAACAATCCCAACATACACCACTAATATGTAGTGGTATCATGGTAAAAAATTATAAAAAATAAAAAAATAAATTAAAGTAATATTTTAGTAACAACTTTATTTTTGATATCTACAAGGGTTCTCCACCCCTTTTTAGCCCCTTAATGAGAAATATATTTGTTTCTTATTTTTATACATTGTTTTACTTATTTAATTTGTATTTATTTGCTATAATTCTTTGGCTAAATAGTTTTATTTATATTTGTTTTTATATTATTAATACACTTTTTAATCAATAATTACATTTATTTCAATTCTATTTGTATTTCTGTATACAAATTTATAATACGTGACAATCAATTACTGTTTCAAATATTGCTGTAAAAACAAAATTGAATTTGAAATATTAACATTCCTCAATGAACACTAATAAATTCATTTCTAATCAATTACTTAAAAAGCTGACATATAAAAACAAATTTACAAATACACCTTAAAATGTTTACATAATAGCTTTTGGAAGATTTAAAACAAGCCTTCTCCAAAATATTCCAGTAGATATTTGTTTTCTTGACTTTACTAAAGCCTTTGACACGGTACCTTATGAATGATTATTAATCAAACTTAAGTCATATGGAATATCAAATGTAATATGCAACTGGATTATCTACTTTTTAACTAATGAAGCATCTTGCAACTGGTGTGTTATCTAAATAATAGCAACTTGGAAATAATAACAAGCAGTGTTCCCTAAGGATTGGTAATTTCTCCAATCTTATTTATTTTATATACCAACGATTTACCAGAGATTTTAAAACACTCTAAGCTCTTTGCAGATGACATCGAAAGTAATTATTCAGGAAAGTAGCTATATCTGAAAATGGTCAATTGATTCAGAGTGAAATTAACCAAGCCTGCAAATGGTCAGAGATCTGGCAATTGCAATTTAATAGTGAAAATGTCAAATTATGCACTTCAGAAAAAATAACCTTCGCTATATTTATAAACTAGGTGACAAAATAATAGCGGTCTCTGATACCGAAAAAGATCTTGGAATTACAAGTTTTGTTAATAAGTTTAATAAGCTTGAATTTATTTAAAACTCGCATTGATAAATAACAAGCTATATGATTAGTAATTTATAATTTAATTTATTTACCAAGAATAACTACACAATGTATATGCTGTCAAAGTGAAATTAATTACTACTAATTTCACTCATAAATATATATATATATATATATATATACATATATATATATATATATATATATATATATATATATATATATATATATATATATATATATATATATATATATATATATATATATATATATATATATATATATATATATATATATATATATATATATATATATATAAACTGCTTTCTATTATACATTACATAAAACTTTCTATTATATATTTAATTAAACTTTTGGCTCTGAACATGCATATAATATGTACATGTATGCATTCAAGTTCTTTCTAGTGATGTATAACTTTGGCATCAAACTTTTGATTAAATTAAAACCTTTATGTCACATACCTATATCAACAAAGAAACAATAACAAAAAAACATAAAAAATACAAGAAAACAACTTAGTAAGATACATGATTGTAATTGACTAACAACCATGTTAGTTGTTATTTTTTTAACTTACTACCTTAAATACGGTACAAAAAATACTTTATTACTATTTTTATAATTTTTTTTTCAAGAATACACAATGGCTAAACCAGACAGACATCATTAACTTTTAAAACAACTTGAGTTGGGTATTCTAGTCACTGACAACATGAAAATGAGGAGAACATATTGACTTTCAGCTTTAATGATAAATAAAATGTTTAGTGAACTCAGAAAGCCCTTTTGTATGCCCTAAAAAGTCAAGACTTAGTTTTAGGGCATATGCTGTATCTATATTACATTAAAGTTCTTCTAGAACTTTATGGAAGACATTCATTATTTAAAAAAGCAACAATAAGCAACAAAAAAGAATCTTCACAACATCTAACCTATAAAACTCACCTCAAAAGCCTTAGAATAACCACCATAGTTTCACAATATTAAAAGTGACCATACACAGAAGTCTTTACAATTAGTAATTTATGTATATTTATACACTTTTTATATATTTTAAATATATATCAGAATCCTAATATAAAAAAAACATTTGCTTTTATATCTTTATGTTTTATACTTTATCTATTTATTTTTCTACCTTATATATTTGTTAAAAATCTTTATTTAAATATCGGCTTAAAGTTAATGTTCTTTTTATTAGGAAAAATTTAGTTTTTACAGTTTATATACACATATTTAATTATTATCAAAAATGGCCTACAACTTACTGTCATAATCAGTATATATTATGTATATAAAAATCGGACAGTGTTAATATGAAGAAAAAACATTTCAGGGAATATAAAACTTACCAGCTCATCTATAGAGTTTCGATTTTTTAATCTAGGTGGTGACATCCAAGATTCTTGGCTCTCTGCAAACTCAATACTTTTTGAACGATGAGAAGCTTTGACTATAAACTCTTTATCATCATCTAAACCAAGCTGAGATATGCTATTGCCAATTATTACCTAAAAGCATAAAAAGAAGTATATTATAAAGTTTTTACAAAAAAAATTAATATTTTTACAAAAAATTTGAAAAAATAAACTATTACATCCTCCTCATCATTTTGTTCTTCATCTTCGTAATCATCTCCTTTAAGTAAATGTTCTTTAGTTGATACTTTCAATGGTAACTGTTTTTTGACATTTTCGTATTCAATTTCAAGATATTTGGAAACTCTTTCATGCTGTGTTTCCCAATCTATACAAAGCAAGCTTTACTAAGAGTTTAGACTTTGTTACTTATTTTCTAATAATGCTGTTAATATATTATATATATATATATATATATATATATATATATATATATATATATATATATATATATATATATATATATATATATATATATATATATATATATATATATATATATATATATATATATATATATATATATATATATATATATATATATATATATATATATATATATATATATATATATATATATACATAGAAGTGAATAAATTATGATTATAATAACCCTAACCTGCTGAGAGCAAACTTAATGAAACATCATTCATGTTTTTTAGAAAAGAAAAGCACACTATGATTACACAGACATTTAATAAAAAATAAATTATTTAAAGACAAATTTAAAAAGTTTTAAACAATAAAATAAAAACAACTAAATCCGATAAGTTAAGGTCCTTCGGGATTTTGTTTGTTTTTTGTTTTTTTATTTTTAAATAATATTCCCTGGAGAACAATAATTTTTTTTAATTAAAAAAAAAATATTGTTTTGGTTAAAGTCTTCGTATAAAACATACCTTCATTGGATTCTATGTCACACAATCCAAAAGTTACATCGTTTAACAAATCAGCGTCCTCCTACAAAAAAAATTCATTAACTCTAAGATAATTATATAGGTTGTTAACCTAGATTTTTTTTAAATAAAATAAAAATAATAAGCAGGTATCAATTAAATAATAAATAACTACTTTGAGTCTACCTCAAAATAAAAGTCATCATCCATTATATTGAAACAAAAAAATGTTTCATAAAAATTAATTGAATGCAGAGTTATGGCAGTGTTTACAGATTTTTGTTCGGAGGCTGCGAAGTAAAAACAAAATTTTACCTTTTTTTTAACAATTACCTAATTCATTTTTGTTTACGTACGTTTACATACGCGCAAATAAACTCGCAATTACTCGCATTATTGATTGAACCGTGGGTTAAATAATGCTAAGAAAATCATTTTTTAAAAACTATGCTTATTTTATTGAAAGTTTAACCCAGATTCTATTTCTTATGGGAGTTTTTCAAATTTCATACAAGTAGTTTATCTTTCTATATATATAGCAACGCCCTTGGCAACAATATTTATCTATAAAATGTGGTTTATCATATTAATTGTATTTTTTTTTTTTTTTTTGTCATATAAACACGGTTAGCAATGGCTACCTAGATATCCCAAAGAACGCCACTTATACGGAAAGTTAGCATACACATCAAGGTACCCTGTGATGCAAATTTTGAAATCATTTAATTTTGTCCGCGGAAAATAATTTAATTTGAATGTTCAAATTAAGTAAAATTTTGACTTCTTAGTGCGCCAACACTTCTAAAATTTGAACCACTAAATATAATTTGATAAAAATTAGTGCAAATGTAGCCAATAGTCACACCAAACTCTGGACAAAATTTCAGTCTGATTGGATGACTGGTGTAGAATTTATTGCAATTTTAGTTGAAGTTTTGTAAGTTTTTTACTACTTATATCTCAAAGCGTTACCGATTACTTTGAAATTCGGTCACTATTTTTAAAATAACGGTTACATGAATGTTCTACTATGTAATACCAACAATTTTTGCTATAATTTTTTTCTCGGTACATGTACAGTTTTCACTTTATAGACCAAAATAGTGATTTTCTACTTAAAGCGTGATTTAAATAGTATTATGCTAAGAGTGTCGATACAGCCTTCAAAGTGGAGGGGGTCAATCCCTCAATTTCTAAAATAAAATCCATAGTTTCTAAAACAAAAGGTCCTCGCAAAAAAAAAGTAAAGAAGAACATGACCCCCTAGCCTCCCCGGCCTTGACGGCCATGTATACTTCGCTTGAATATACCAACATTCCCTAAGGTATAAACTGCTGCCAAAAAAAAAAGCTAAATAAAAGTCCAAAACCTGGTCAAAGGACTACCAGTTAGTAAAACAAAAAAAAAAGTAGATCTCCTAGAATATGCCAACTGCAGAAGACCAAGATCAATATCAGTGATACTCGGGTGCCAAAAGGATTCTGCTAATCGTGTAGAATAACTTTGCGCAAGAACAAGAGGGGAAAGAAGTTGCACTCCCTCCTTTGTTTGATTTTAAATCAATACATGTGAGACCTGAAACCAGAGGCACGATGTGTTGTTGTCTAATATGCTGAATTGGTCGTTCAAAGCTGCAAGAAAAACATTCTCTTAGAGAGCAAACCACTATTGAGAAAAAACCAAAGGTGCATTGCAGCATTTGCCTCAGCCCTTTAGGAAAAAGTTTGCCCCACCAATGCTCTCAAATAATGTAAGGGAAAACATTCAATTCTTTAGCAGCAAAAGATGCCAAATCATCCAAACAAATCGCATCTCGAGTTATTTCCAATAAAGAATATCTCCGGAAGGAACTATTCTACTAGCTTAAGCATTCGGCAGGCCTCCACTTACAGTTACCCCTGGTAAATATTTATACTTAATAATTTTAACATACATATTGAAATTAAGTCTTGACTATTAAAAAAAAACACTAGATAGATTTCAAGAAGTATATTTTTGACAAGTTTCTAATTTCTTTGAAAACGAATAAATTAAAAGTTTTACACAAACTTACTAAACAAAGTTTATTGTAACTATAAAACATGTATGTTTTGGTTTTAGGTCAAAGTAGTGTGCAATTAAATACGGGCCTGTCAAACAACCGATTAAAGAAACTTGTTAAAACTATAAACAAAACATCAAGCAAGACGGTAGAGCGAAATTTCTACATGAATTTTCTAAGACTAGGTCAACAATTGAGCAATTTCTTCACCTGCAGCGGCTTAAAAATCATAGACGAAAAAACAGATTCTTGTACAGTTCATATTGTTGCTCACTGCAATGATTTATCATATCTTATGAATCAAGTTATTCAGTCCCGCAAAATTTGTAGTGGCTATTTTATTAAGCTTGGAATTGATGGTGGCAAAGGTTTTCTCAAGTTTTGCCTAAGCATTGTTGATGCTGCGTTAAGGGATGAAACCAGCTCACCGCACCAACAACAACCTCTCACTCAAAGGACTGGTAAAGACACTGGAGTCAAGAGACAGATTATTGTTAGTTTTTCAGAAGATTTGCCAGAAACACACTCCAATGTTTAACAAACGTGGTCACTGGTTAATGCAAATGGGGTTAAACTAATTTTGGCTTGTGATATGAAAGTTGCAAATATAATTTGTGGTCTTCAAACTCATTCAAGTACGCACCCTTGCACCTGGTATTACGTCAAATCCAATTGTCTTGCCAAATCTGGAAACTTGCAAACACTGGGCTTAATTAATTCAAGCATTGGATCTTTTCAGCAATCTGACGGAGTTGTTGCTAATGCAAAGCTGTTTGGCAGTGTCATTCGAAAGTTAATCATCTGCAGGCCTGTCAATATTCTGATTTTGGAAATCATTCCACCGATGGAATCGCATCTCCTCTTAGGAGTTGTCAACCATCTTTTCAAGATCCTTAAAACTGCTTGGATAGAAGCTGTTAAGTGGCCAGCCGCTCTCCATATTCAACTGAGCCGGTATTACGGGAGCCAGTTTGAGGGAAATGAATGCAAAAAGCGTCTGAAAAAAATGTGGATATGCTGCAGCAACTTGCTGAGACAAACATGGTTCCCAATATTGTGTGCATAATTGAAGCATTCAAAAGCTTCAATTTAGTTGTCAAGACTTGCTTTGGATACATCCTTCAGCCGGATTTTGTTGAAAAAATTGAAAATTTCAAAAAGTGTTACCTAATGATAACTGATGCAAGCGTAACACCCAAAATTCACGCTGTCTTCTACCACATCAAGGATTTTATCATTCACAACGCTTTGAGGTATAAGTAGTAAAAAACTGACAAAACTTCAACTAAAACTGCAATGAATCCTACACCAGTCATCCAATCAGACTGAAATTTTGTCCAGAGTTTGGTGTGACTATTGGCTACATTTGCACTAATTTTTATCAAATTATATTTAGTGGTTCGAATTCTACAAGTGTTTTTATTGGCGCACTATAGTCAAAATTTGATTTAATTTGAACATTCAAGTTAAATTATTTTCCGCGGACAAAATTAAATGATTTCAAAGTTTGCATCACAGGGTACTTTGATGTGTACGCTAACTTTCCGTATAAGTGGCGTTCTTGGGACAGCTAGGTTGGCATTATAAGGATCCGCGCTAACCGTGTAAATTTATTCATAACATAAAACATGTAAATACAAACAACAGGGGCAAGATGAAGACATTTGTCTTATAGCCAAGCTACATACACACTATAGTTAATATAACTATAGTGTGTATGTAGCTTTGTATAAAATCTTGGTACAAAGATTAAAATAATATCATTAGAAAGCACTTATCACATTTTTAGCTAGCTTTTTATTTTATTGTATATTATACATAAGAACCATTTTTTATTGTTATCCATTGTTTTATCGGTTCTTCAAAAAGAAAGTATTAAGGACATAGAAAAACAATCGATATATCTTTTCCAGTAACACCACGGTTCTTTCTAGTGGAAAACAAAACATCAACACAAATAGGACCATCCATAAGTCCCCAGCAATATTCTTTATTGGAATTTCAGTGGAAATATATAGGCATTTGAGGCATTGAACCTCAGTCCTTTTAAATCTGAAGCAAGTCCTATAATCAATTAACCACTGCTACTCTACTACGTCACCCCTTGGTCCTAAAGGTGTATTTTTAATGTTTCAAACTAGAATTATTTTGTATCTTTTACGCTTTAAAAGTCAGTAAAACTTTTAAAAAGATAAATATATTAGAAACTTATTGAAATTTTGTGATTGAACCATACCGAAGCACTATATTTCATTTTGCAGAGCTAATTTGGTATTAAGACAAATTTTTCAATAAACTGATGCATTTTAAAAAATTTTACAATTAATTTTTATTAGATGGAGTTAAAGTACAATAAAAAACCTCAAAATTACAACTTAGACTGCAAATATTAAACTCAATCAAATAAATATTAAACTTTGACTTTTGACTTATATACTTATTATAATACTTTTTAAGGATTCGCCCCCCCTTCTCTTCATATATTCCAAAAAGGGTCGTCCATAAATTGCATCTAGCAATTTTCGACCGTTTTTGACCTACCCCTCCCCCCCTCCCTCTCTTTCGTCACAAAATTGTAACACTTTAGTAGCAAGTTTTGTATGAGTCTTCACATTTATAGATGACCCCAAAGTCTTATTTTATGTATATTGGTAACAACTGTAAACGACTCACGTTTTTATTTATCTTCTACGGAATCAATTCTATAGGCTTAGCAATAAGACATTTGGCGATATTTAGATAAGTCGAACGCAACATTTTATAGAACTCCGACAAAATAGCATTGATTATGAAAAAAGTTGATGAAATTAAAATTAGCTTAAACTTTCATGAAAATCTATTCAACAAAAAAATTAAAACCGTGATTGATTCTATTACAAAAGATAACTTATCGAATATGAAATCTAATAATAACAGCGATGAGCTTCTAAAAATAAACAAAAAACTTAGAGAGATTGATGATCGATCGAGGCGAAACAACCTTAAAATTGATGGTATCCCCGAAATCAATAACGAAAGCTGAAATGATTGTGAACTAAAAGTTGAAAAGTATTTAACAATTACTAGGGGTTTATAACGTTAAAATTGAAAGAGCGCATAGGAAAGGGAAAAATGAAAATAAAAAACAGCGAACAATCGCCCTGAAACTTTCAGATTTTAAAGAAAAAACCAAATTTCTCAAAAATTCTTTCAAACTAAAAGACAAAAGCATCTACATATCCGAAGACTACTGTATGGAAACAAGCCTAATACAAAAGGAAATGCGCAACAGAATGAAAGTCGAACGACAGGCTGGTAATATGCTT